TAATTTATATTTTGTATTTTTATAATGCAGATTGATAATTTAGTGAGTCACGAAATATACCGTTTTTTATTACTTCTATGCAATTATAATATTTTACTATTACAATAAATCATGTAAATAATTAAAATTTAAAAAAAAAATTTAAAAAAGGTTTTCCATCCAACAGAACCACGAGTTATCGGAATATTGGATTGGGAACTTTCAACTATAGGTCATCCACTTTCTGATCTTGCAAACCTGTTGATGAATTTTTTTGTTAGGGATATTCCCGATATTCCTTCTCCCTTAGTTGGTTTACGTGATGTTAAAAGTTTACCAATTCCATCTGCTAATGAATTAATTCAAGTTTATTGCGAAAAATCTGGTCGACAGTATCCAATACTGAATTTTGAATTTGCTATCGTGTTTTCATTTTTCCGGGTATTGATTTTGACGTACTTTTATTGTTTGAATTTTATAAAAAAAAAAGAAATTGATAATGCAATGAATTGTCATTAAAATTTGTCTTTTAATTTTTAGACCGCAGTTATTTTACAGGGAATTGCCGCGCGTAAAGCTCGTAAACAAGCCAGTTCTGCTAAAGCAAATATATATGCTAAAATTTTTAGGGATATTAACTTAATGGGTCTTGAAATTATTGATCGCTATAACGAGTCTACTATTAAAAGCAAATTATAAATTTTTTTTACTTTAAATATTGGGTTTATCGTCAATTTTATAGAGTTTCACTAACAATCTAACACTAATGGCATACAGTCAGACCCCTCTAAATGCAATGCGACGGGACCATATGTAAAAGTTTAGTCAAATGTGCACTTAGAGAGGTATTGCATTTAGGGAGGTAAAAACCTATAGGCGTAGTATTAGCTGGGCCCAAGAGAAGACGTGCATTTAGGGAGGCTTTTCATAGAACGTGCATTTAGGGGGTCTGACTGTATATATTGCTAAACACTAAAATACAGAAAGTTGCGGTAAGATGACTGTTGGCAAAATGGCCTGTGAGCGAAATGGTTTCAACAAAATATACCAAAACCTAATGTTGCAATTTTTTTTTATAATGAGTATTTTTTGTATCAATAGTAGCTTACATTTTAGATAAAATGATAGTTTTCTGGTCTTATATCAAAGAGTAACTTTTATTGTGCAGTAAATCAAAGAATCCAAATACTGAAATAAACTTATCAAACATCTAGATAAATTGCGTATCTAGCAATCATATTTAATTATTCAAATTTATCTCTAATAATAAAAATATTTCGATATTTTTTGTTCACACACATATTCCAATACTAACAATCTTCTAGTTGCAAATATCATAACTACCCCCATTAATTCTGGTATATCGTGACAAATTCCCTGATCTTTAACGTTAACCTCAAAAATAAAAAAGATGGAAAGTGATTAAATATTTTGGTGTAAATGTATTCA